CATGGTAAACAATTTAGAGCAATTATTGAACACGAATCTTTCAACACAACAAATTAGGGCAGTCAATTCTAGTATGATCAATTTAGGGACTTATACCAATTACCCGAACACTAGGGGTTCGATCCTAAGAAGAAGGGGGTTTAGCCATACTTACCTGAAATTCGTCCCTTAAAGATACTACAACGACCTACTACACTAACCAACTTCAATCTACAATATCAACATCCAATGGAAGCATCATTAGTAACAAATTTCATAGTTTAGGCTGTTTAGACACTTTATCAAACACATGGCTGGCATAAACCACTACATCTCATAGCCATAGAATTAGTTCATCCAGCTACCATAATTTACCAACATTTTATGCCCCCCATCATTCTTAAGCATTTTATAACTTCCAACATCACATCCATGACCATCCATCTACACCCAACCAACAATATTTCATCAAATAATTACCTTTCAATCTCTACAATGGTTATGTATTTAAATTGGGAAACTATGGCTTCTAATCACCATCCCATGAGTCCCATTACATAATTCATACTCATATTCCCATAATAAATCCATGCATGTAAGCCTAAGTGTGCAGGATTACCTTTTGGAAGATTTCTTGCAAAATCCTCCTTTTGCATTCTTGAAGAAATTTCTTGAAAATCTAATGATTTTATGGAGGATTGAGTCAGTTTTAGGGTGTAATTGATGGAATGAAATACCAAATTAGTAGGTATTACTCACCATGAAGATGGGGGGAGTTGGAGGTCTTGAGAGAGTGAAGAAGAACCCCATGGTTCGTGCAAATGAAGTGGGCAAAAATGAACCCCGTATATAACTTAATATTGTAGCGCTGCTGGCGTGGGGCGCTGTCTGTGGCGCTGGTTCTATAATCTCAAATATTCCCAGTGCTAGGGCTAGCGACCCACGCTACCCTGGACTTCGGCGATGGGAAAGACACGGAAATGGGCATAACATTCTGATATGGTGTCGAATTCGACGATTCTTTTTGCTATGGCTCCGAAATTTCAATAAGAATCTAATGCTTCAATCAAAAATGAATTTGGAGCTCATTCGCTAATATGTTAACACTTATGCTTGAAGAAACAGCGTGTTAACCCCGAAGTCGCACTTTAAAATCTTAAATCATTAGGAATTTCTTTTTGATGGGGCCTTACATTCTCCCTCACTTAGGATTATTTGTCCTCGAATGAGGGTCAAGATCTTTTATTAGAATCCATTGGGGCCCAACTATTACCTCACACAATAATCATACCAAATTTTGACTAACTCCTAAAATTTGCAAAAATTTCGCCAAAGTTTCCGTTGTAACTAGTCCTATCCACCTGTCAGGGAGGCCCAGAAACACATCTTAACAACATATATATATGATCAAATGATGCAACATGGAACAAAACGACACCAACCTTGGCCTTATAAGGAACATATAACCAAAATTGAACTTCTTTTCATTGGCTGTACAAGTGATACAAAATTTATGGGAAACAACTTCATAGAACTATTACATGGCTATTCAAACAAATGATGGTACTTCTTTTTCATTTTATCCTCGGCTTCCCAAGTAGTTTCTTCAACTTGCTGGTTTCGCCATAATACCTTCACGGAGGCAATTTCTTTATTTTACAACTTTCAGACTTGCCTATCAAGAATGGAAACTGGAATCTCTTCATATGAAAATTCTTCATTAACCTCAATGGTCTCAACCGGCACAATAGAGGATGGATCTCCAACTACCTTCTTCAACATGGACACATGAAATACCAGTTGCTCTAATGACATCTCAGGTGGTAGCTTAAGCTTGTACGCTACCTGACCAATCCTCTGAATAATTTTGTACGGGCCGACATACCTCGGACTCAATTTCCCTTTCTTTCCAAACTGCATAATACCCTTCATGGGGAAACCTTCAAGAATACCCAATCATCTTCCTTGAACTCTAAGTCTCTCCGACGAATATCCGAATAGGACTTTTGACGGCTCTGGGCGGTCTTCGACCGCTCCTTAATGATCTTAACTTTCTCCATGGCCCGATGCACGAGGTCTGGTCCTATAAATTCAGCTTCTCTAACTTCAAACCACCCAATAGGAGATCTACACCTCCTCCCATATAATGCCACAAATGGTGCCATCTGAATACTAGCATGGAAGTTGTTGTTATAAGAAAACTCCATAAGTGGCAATTGATCAACCTAGCTACCTTTTAAATCAAGGAAATAAGCACGCAACATGTCCTCAAGCGTCTGGATAGTCCTCTCTGCTTGCCCGTCGATCTGTGGATGGAAGGTTGTGCTATGACTTACCTGCGTACCCAAAACTTGATGAAATTTCTTCCAAAAATTAGCCGCGAATTGAGCTCCTCGATCGGAAATGATGAAACCAGAGTGCCTTGAAGTCTGACTATTTCCTTGATATACAATTAAGCATATTGTTTCGCTGTGTTGGTAGATTTAACTGGCAAGAAGTGTGCTGACTTTGTGAGTCGGTCCGCAATAACCCAAATTGAGTCAAACTTGCACGGAGTGCGCAGTAACCCAACCCAAAAATCCATATTAATTATCTCCCACTTCAACATTAGAATTCCTATGCTTTGTGCTAACCCATGAGGATGTTGATGTTGGGCCTTCACTTGTTGACAATTCGGACATTTTGCCACAAAGTCCGCCACATTCCTTTTCTTGTCATTCCACCAATAGATTTCCTTGAGGTCATAATACATTTTTGTAGAACATGGGTGCACAGAATTACTGGACGTGTGAGCTTTCGCGATGATTCTTTCCTGAAGACCATCAATATCTAGAACACACAGCCGCCCTTGGTACCTTAGTGTACCATCATCCATGCCAAGAGAAAAAGCTGTAGATTATGTTTATGAATCCCCTCCTTCATAAACATAATACTACAAAAACAAATCCCCTCCTTAAGCTGTACCAACAATGGATCATTGTATTGCTTCTCCTTGACCTCTGTCACAAGCGATGATTCAGCCCTATTCTGCACAATCACCCCTCCGTCATTAGAGTCCGCAAGAAGAACTCCCAAACTAGCCAACTAGTGAACCTCCTTGGCCAACGGCCTTTGACATGCCTCCAAGTGAGCCAAACTTCCCATATATTTTCGTCTAAGAGCATCTGCCACAACATTAGCCTTCCCCGGATGATATAAAAAATCGATGTCATAGTCTTTGAACAACTCAAACCATCTTCTCTGCCTTAAATTCAATTCCTTCTGTTTGAAAATATATTGAAGGCTCTTGTGGTCCATAAATACATCCACATGGACCCCACAAAAGTAATGATGCCAAATCTTCTATGCAAAAACCACCGCCGCAAGCTCTAGATCATGTGTTGGATAGTTCTTTTCATGATTCTTGAGTTGTCTAGAAGCATATGATATGACCTTGAGATGTTGCATCAACACACACCCAAGACCAATCCTTAAAGCATCACAATACCACAAACCCATCGGTACATTCTGGTAGGGTCAACACCGGCGCAGTAGTCAATCTTGATTTCAACCCTTGGAAGCTCTTTTCACAAGCATCAGACAATTGGAACTTGACTGCTTTCTGTGTCAATTTAGTCAACGGAGAGGCAAGGGTAGAGAGCCCCTCCAAAAATTTCCTGTAATACCTAGCTAAGCCCAAGAAACTGTGAATATCTGTTGGAGTTATAGGTCTAGGCCAATTCTTTACCGCCGCAATCTTTTGAGGATCAACCTTTATTCCTTCTCTGGAGACGACATGACCTAAGATGTAATAGATTCAAGACAAGATTCACATTTGAGAACTTCGCATACAATTGGTGCTGATGAAGAGTCTGCATAACTGCCTTGAGATGACCGACATGGTCCAAGAATGTTGTCAATAAAATCTATCATAAAGGATTCAACAAAAGGCTTGAAGACTCTATTCAGGAGATCCACGAATGATGTCGGGGCATTTGTTAGCCCAAGAGACACTACCAGAAACTCGAAGTGGCCCATACCGGGTCCTGAATGTTGTTTCCAGAGTATCTTGCTCTCTTATCTTCAATTGGTGATACCCGGACCGTAATAAATCTTGGAGAAGTACTTAGCACCTTGTAATTGATCAAACAAATCATCTATCCTTGGTAAAGGGTACTTATTTTTTATTGTGACTTTATTGAGCTTCCGGTAGTCAATACACATCCGTAACGACCCATCTTGCTTTCTTACAAAAAGAACCGGTGCGCCCAAGGCGACACACTCGGTCGGATGAAACCATTTCCTAACAAATCCTTCAATCGTTCCTTTAACTACTTCAATTTTGCCGGTGCCATTCTATAAGGAGGAATAAATATGGGTTGCGTGCCAGGCATCACATCAATCCCAAAATCAATCTCCCTGTCTGCTGGAATCCCAGGGAGCTCATCTAGAAAGACATCCGGAAATTCATTCACAACTGGAACAGACTCAAGTGTAGGTGCCTCAACATCAGTGTCCGTAACCCAGACCAAATGGTAGATACATCCCTTGCTAATCATCTTCGTGGCCTTGAGGTAAGAAATAAACCAACTTTTTGGAACCGCATTATCCCCCTTCCATTCAATAGCTGGCTTATTTGGAAATTCAAGCCTCATATTTCTAGTTTTGCAGTCGAGCTTGGCGAAACATGAATAAAGCCAATCCTTCCCCATAATTACATCAAAATCGACCATCCCTAATTCAATGAGATCGGCCATGGTATCCCAACCATGAATCGTGAAAACAAAATATCTATAGACCCGCACAGCCATAATAGACTCACCAACCAGAGTAGGTACAGAGAATGGCTCATGAAGCTGTCCCGGTTCTATCCCGAATTCCATAGCAACATAAGGAGTAACCTAGGACAAAGTGGAACTGGGATTAATAAGGGCATACACATCATGAGATTGGACAGTCAATATACCTGTGAGAACATCGGGAGAAGACTCTGCACTCTGGCGACCACTCATAGCATAGAAACAGCTGGTTCCTCCTGAACTCTAAGCACCATCCCTAGTTGCTCCACGCCCTGCTGGTGCTGGAGAGCCTCGAGCTGGAGGAGGTGCTGGAGAAATAGCAGCTGTAGAAATGGATGGTTGTGCTGTGCCCCTGCCCGTACACTGGCGGGATACACGACACTCCCTCTGAATATGGCCTCTCATCCCGCACCCATAACATACTGGCACGTCAATGTAGGAGATCTCTAAATGCATCCTCGCACATTTGGGGCATGGGGGCCTCCGTTGCTGCTGTAATCTCCCGCCTAATCGGCCCTGCTGGTGGGGTCCCTTGCTGCCCTGATTGGGCTTGAACGACTAGCCTGTTGCTGACTAGCCCCTACTGGCGGGGCACTGGCTGAGGATTGAGCAAAGGACTGAGATGGCCTTAACGATCCTCCCCGAACGACTAATCTTCCCTCGCCAAATTAATGTCCAGGATGGCCCGCGGATCGGGCCTTGCTGCTACCCTGTCTCTCCATCATATTCTTCAACTTGCGAGTCTCTGTAGCTTGAGAAAACAACACCATCTTTCCATAGTTCATATCAAAATTTAAAGCAGCTGTGGCAGCCTCATTAATAACCAAAGGGCGAAAGCCCTGCACAAATCGACGCACTCTGGCCTCCATGGTGCGCATCATTTGAATGACATATTTTGAGAGGCGCGCGAACTCCATGTGATACTCCCACACACTCCTACACCCTGTTTGAGGTTCTCAAACTCCGTAACACGGGCTCCCTTAGTCTCAACATGCAAGATATGATCCATGAAAGCATCCGCAAACTCACTCCACCTTGCCGGAAGGCTCCATTTATCACGGGAATCCTCCCACATCCCAAACCATGAATATGCCACCCCTTTCAAGTGATAGGCGGCCAACTCCACTCCCTTTGTCTCGGTAGCGCGCATAACCTGGAGAGTCTTATGAATCTCATTAATGAAATCATGAGGGTCCGTCTCGGGATTAGTACCTGTGAACACTGGAGGATCTTATCTTACTGGAGAAACCTATTCACCCTAGAACCCGTAGAATCCCCTTGTTGGCTAGAAGATATGGGTGCAACATTCGACCTTTGGGCCTAAGAAGCCACTAACTGTGTCAGCATCTGGATAGCTCCCCTAAGTTCCCTATCAGAAATACCAGAACCTGAAGCTGGGGATGGAGGTGGAATAGAAATACCGATGGGAGGGATCGTTGCACCCTTAGTAGACGTAGGAGCTGGTGCAGTTTGTTCCAGTATAGAATAATTAGGCAGTGTAATAGTTAGGGGATTATCCTCACCCGCACCATCAAGTAGAGAATCAACAGCCACTCCTGGGGTGGCATTGGCTTCTTGGCCAGTTCTTGCTTTCTTCTTAGGTGGCTTTTATTAAAAGTTAGAACAATGCACGAGTTAGAGGAGAACAACCTCACATTCAGTTCTATCGCATGATATAAATCAACAAAGAAGGGTATTATTCCTAAATTTCCAAGTAGCCCCCTAATTGTAGATGTGGTCGACAACACATCAATAAGAAGGGCTCTACCAGACACGGCTCTGAGACATCCTAGGACACTTTAAAATCTTAGGCTCTAATACCAAGTTTGTCACGCCCCAAACTTGGGGAGCGCGACCAACGCTCAACCGAGTGAACCCGACCGAGCAAGCCTGTTAGACACTTTCTACAAAATTCACTTACGATCAAGAGAAGACATGATTTCGTTATTTAGAAAATAATAGATCATACAAGTATATTACTAATCCATTTCATTAGCCACGTCATTGATAAGTTTCAAAATATATACACCATATGATTTAGTGGAACAAGAATCCAAAGCATAACATAATCCATTGACCTTCCCCAAACCCATATACAACCTTCATAATGTCTACGGAGCCTCTAAGTAGATAGAAAAGAGAGTTCTACAAAAGTGCCGGCAAAAAGGCCCAGCTATACCTCAAAACATGATAAGAAGGTGAACAAAAGATACAAAAGATATAGGACCCCAAAATGATGTGGGGCTCACAAAGTCAGCTGGAAAGAGGGTGAGCCACTAGCTACGATCAGCACTATCTGCTATAGAACTACCTACATCCATTTAAAGATGTAGCACCCCACGGCAAAGGGGCGTTAGTACTGTCGAATAGTACTAGTATGTAAAGCTAAACACCAATCTTAATAGAATGAACAATGATAAAAGAGGAAGCAGTCATGGTGTACAATAAGAGCTTCAAACAAATACGAAAAACATCAAGTAAAGATGACATAGTTCCCGGTTCAATTTCCATCTTATTAGGTTGATAAGCTTAGTGCCATGTGCCATAATTCACAATACCACCATGTTCCTACACGGAGTCCGATCTCGACCCGATCGGCTATGTCATCTCATTTGGGACATCAACCATATCCACAATTTCAATCAATCATTTCCAGCACAGTTACCACCATGTATGCGACATGGTGTTGGATCACGGTCCGATCGGCTAGGCCATCACACTTGAGACATCATCCTTTCAATCATTCATCTCAATTCATATTTCCTTCCCATCTTTCAATACATGGCACGAGTGGCCTCATTTATTAAGTCGTTCTTGTCTCTTGGCCGTATATTACAATCAAAGTTTCCCTTTTTATACATTCAAATAACATTATTATCAACATTAATAAGGCCTATCATATAAGGCATTGCATACATAAGGGAAAAGCTTAGAAAATACTAATCACATAGAGGCTTTTCATGCTAATTAGCATAGCAATCTTTATTCTATTCTTGACATGAATTCTTGACCTTTCTCAACACATATTCCACATTTAAAAACATTCTCAAAATAACGTGATTACATGGTAAACAATTTAGAGCAATTATTGAGCACTAATCTTTCAACACAACACATCCGGGAAGTCAATTCTAGTATGATCAATTTAGGGACTTACACCAATTACCCGACACTAGGGGTTCGATTCTAAGAAGAAGGGGGTTTATCCATACATACCTAAAATTCATCCCTTAATGATTATACAATGATCTACTATATTAAGCAACTTCAATCTACTGTATCAATATCCAATGGAACCATCATTAGTAATAAATTCCATAGTTTAGGCCGTTAGACACCTTATCAAACACATGGTAGGCATAAACATCTAGATCTCATAGCCATAGAATTAGTTCATCCAGCTCCCATCATTTACCAACAGTTTATCCCCCCATCATTCTTAAACATTTTATAACTTCCAACATCACATGCATGACCATTCATCCACACCCAACCAACAAAATTTCATCAAATAAATACCTTTCAATCTCTACAATGGTTATGTATTTGAATTGGGAAACTATAGCTTCCAATCACCATCCCATGTGTCCCAATACTTAATTCATACATATATTCCCATAATAAATCCATGCATGTAAGCCTAAGGGTGTATGATTACGTTTTGGAAAATATCTTGCAAAACCCTCCTTTTGAGTTCTTCAAGAAATTTCTTGAAAATATGAGGATTTTATGAAGGATTGAGTTAGTTTTCGGGTGGAATTGATGGAATGAAACACCAAATAAGTAGGTATTACTCACCTTTGAGATGGGGGGAGTTGGAGGTCTTGAGAGAGTGAAGAAGAACCCCAAGGTTCGTCCAAATGAAGTGGGGAAAAATGAACCCTGTATATAACTTAATATTGTAGCGCCATAGGTGGAGTGGGGCACTGCCTGTGGCACTGGTTCCAGAATCTCAAAAATTCCCAGCGCCAGGGCTAGCGCCCTACGCTACCCTGGACGTTGGCGATGGGAAGACACGAAAACGGGCATAACTTCCTCATACGATGTCCGATTTCGATGGATCTTTTTGCTATGGCTCCGAAATTCCTATAATAATTTAATTCTTTAATAAAAATAGAATTTGGAGCTTATTTGCAATGTGATACCACTTATGATTGAAGAAACGACGTGTTAACCCCGAAGTCCCACTTTAAAATATTAAATCATTAGGAATTTTTTATGGGGCCTTACATTCTTCTTTCATATTCATATCATAACTCTATTAGTGACTTCATAATGGCTTCCATTATTGTTGTTGAGTGCTGGATTATCTGGCAAGCAGGTTTGGCACCATCACGACCCTTGGTAGGATTTTGGGTTGTGACAAGTTAGTATCTGAGCTTTATTTTTAAGGGTCTTATAAGTCACGAGCAGGCCTAGTAGAGTCTTGTGGATCAATACAGTGACACAATATCGATATGCGAGAGGCTATAGGGCTTTTGGACTTTCCCTTTCTTGATTGCTTGTCGTGCATTAATTATTCTATAAAGTCTAAATCTTTGCTTTCTACTCTCTCATGGTGAGAACCCGCACTTTAGTACCAGTAGGTGCGGGAGAGGTAGAACCACCAATTTTAGTTGGGAGGGGCAGGTCCAGGACTCTTGACAGGGGTCATAACTAGGGGTAGATCATTTACTAGAGCATGTGGTCTTGCCAAGTAAGTTTTGGTGAACCCACATGCAAATCAATTTATGGATGATCATGTGGGGCTCATTACCCACTCAGCTTCCAGAGGGTTTTATTGTCGCACCGGTATTCTAGGAGTCAATGGCCATGGTGGTCAGCTTTATTGATGCATTATCCTAGGATGGAGTAGTACTGGCGCCAGTCACATCTCAATCTAGGGGGGAGCTCAGAACCCTATCACTCGTACTCCAAGTCAGGTATCGGCGATGTTTGAAATGTCGGGGGTATTATCAGATGGCGGTGAGTAGCTTATTGTAGCAGCTAGACCCAAGGTTATGCCTACTATGTCTACTAAGGAGTAGAAGATTCAGAAGTTGCATCCTCTCAACTTTGAGGGTGGTTCTTCAGAGGATGCATAGGATATTCTAGACAAATGCCATTAGATGCTTTGCAATTTGGGCTTGGTAGATTCTAATGGGATGGATTTTACTATATTTTAGCTAAGGAGCTGTCAGGAGATGGTGGTAGACTAATGAGCTAGACAAACTAGCGGGTTCACCTCCTCTTACTTGGATTCAATTTTCACATTTGTTTCTTGAGAGGTACATCCTACTCACCAGGAGGGATGCGTTGAGAGGTCAACTCCAGCATCCTCAATAGGATCATATTTCAGTGACAGAGTATGAGGTAAGATTCATAGAGTTTTTTCATCATGCTGCATTCTTGATCTCCACAAAGTCAGAAAAGGTGAGGTGATTTATTGAGTATTTGAATTATGGCATAAGGGTTGCTCTAGATTGAGAACTAGAGATTGAGACTACCTTCCAACAGTCCATAGAGATAGCTCGGAGGGTCGAGCGTAGTCTGGGGAGAGAGGCCATGGTGAGAGATAAGAGGGGGGTCAGACTAGTAGAGCTATCATGGTAGTCCAACTTATTTTATCCAACATGTATCTCGTGGTGTAGTGGTTCGATCACCTTTCAGCACTTCAGTTCTATCATCTTTTAATGCTCTTCTAGTGAGTTTGTACCGTAGTTCATCGGCTCATGGTTCTTCTAATGGGTATTTGAGTCATCATGGGTAGTTTCAGCTTCAACAACCTCTATAATCTATGGGTTGTTATGATTGAGGAGAGTTCGGCCATGTGAGGAAGTATTACCCCAGGCTTCGTAGAGGCATAGCTTCGCAGAGTTCCCAGTTAGTA